CAGGAACTATCCAAAAAGTGTTCAGAAGAAACATAAAATAGAGAGGTTGTGTGAAGCAGTTAGAACCTCCCTTCCTCTACAGGCAAATATCTTAAATCTGAGTCATAATGTCTCCTTACTCAACTAAATAAATTTGAGTATTCCCAGAAGCAGCTCACCTGATGTAAATCACTGTAACATAACTTCCATGGATTCCTTGGAATTTGATCAATTTACATTAGTTAGGGCCCATAACTACTGTGTATATTGTGAATCAACACAAAATCTGCAAGCTTGAGGGCTGATTTTGCACACTTGAGAATTACTCAGCAAAATAGTCTCAGGATCTGAGGCTCACATGGTAAGAAGAGAGCAGAATTCATATGACAGAAACAGCATGCTACAATTCTTTGAAACAGCTATCCACCTTAGCATGACTGAAATAGGCCAGTCTGGGCTCCCCTGGAGCCAGTCTAGGCTCCCTTTCAGTGGAGGGAGATGCCTGACTGATATCCCAAAAATGATAAGTCAAGTGGAAGGAAGTCAAGAGCTAGTAGAGTTAAAACAGGTTTTGTGAGTTTTCTTTTCCTCTCTGTTGTTTCTCATTCAAATCATTTCTGGCAAAGTGTTAATAACAGTTTTACAGTAAAATCATGGCCTGTTTGATTCTGTCTTCAAAGGAAAATATGTTGTAGTGATTTAAGAACAAGATGGGAAGTTCAGGGTAGGGAACATAAAATGTTCTTGTAAATATTCTGTCACTTAAACAGCTCAATGGATTACTGTGCTTGGCTTGCTTATCTCTAAAATAAAAGATAACTCTTTTCCCAAGAACTGTGTTCAAGTCCTTCATTTTCTGCTGTTGGTAATAACTACCCTAAGTGTATGTAGAAATGTTGATCCTAAAGTATTTTATATTATATAAATCAATACAGGAAGACTCTACTAAAGCAGCTAATTGAGCAACTGATGTATAACAGAGACAATCTTCTTACAAAGCTGATGCAGAAGCATAACTGCAGTCAATACCCCAGAGGTGTTTGAGGGTAGATTTTAAGCAGCAGTTAGGTACTCGAAAGTGTAGATACTCCATCTAGCAGCTATCTCATTCTTTATGACAAGAGAGTGGGGTTAGTGACTTGAGCACATGGTAAGAAGTCAGAAGTCCTGATTTCTAATTGGAACTCCATCTCCATGAACCTGTGCTCTCACAAAAGTGCTGCTTTTTGCCTTTAAACCATGGTTTCAACAACTAGAAAAAGATGAAATAGTGCTTGCTTTTCTAACCAAGTGTCCCGTAAGAATCCATGTCTGTACAATTTCTGAACAAATATATGAACATAAAAGCTATATAAACTTCCAGAAGTTTAACAAGTAGTTTTACTAAAATCAAAGGATGGACTATAGTGGCAATTCAGCAATATGCAAAGGTATACCAACAGTTTAAGAAAATGAAGGAGTACATAAATCCTTGGATTTGTAGAGTTTAGACTATAGTTAGGACAAACGTAGAGCAAAAGAGAAGAGGATATGTTTACAATAAATGCAGAACAATCCCTGCTTTATTTATCCGTGTTTTTTCAAAACAAGCTGCTGTCAGAACAGGCTTTTCCCAGAACACAGTCTCATCCATGTCTGTTTGTTAAATCATATCGAAGAAGACTTAATCTGCCTCACTGAAAGCAGTAATGACTCTCGATTCATGCATGCACTAAATTAGTAGACAGGTAACCTCAAAAGAACAGGTACTCTTAAAGGAATACACCAGTGTTTTGATACAGGCCTTACCCTAGTAAAAGGATGCCAGTGAGGAAAGAAAGGTGAGTTCCTGTTTGTTTGGATAAGCTTCAAAATAAAGAAACTCAATATATTTCTGTTACAAGTCCAACTGAAATGTTAGGATCTGTACAGTTGTTCACCTCCAAGAGTACTGCACTACCTGCACTTGATGTACTGATAAACAGCACAGCCTCCTCCCATTGCTATATGAGGAGCTTAAATACCTGAGATTTCTGCTAATATTGGTGAGAATTAAGGAATCAAAAGTCTCATATGCTGACCATCAAGAAGACTGTGGCAAAGCTTAACCCAACTTAAGCAGTTGGCAGTTGGACCAGATGACCGTTGTAGGTTCCTTCCAACTGAAATATTCTATTCTAAAGCAAGATGCTGTAATGTAAAACATTGGAGCTATTGAAATGATGCACCATAAGACATTGCTTTAGGTTAAAAATTGTCCCTTATTACTGCAGCTATGCTTTGTTTTAGGAGACTGATGTTTCTAAGAACAGGTTAGACTAAGTTCTGCCAGAAACATTTAGGTATAGCTGGCCCTGCTTTACAGCAGCAGGGTGAGCTAGATAATCTGTTATGACCCTGTGAAAACAGTTCTAATTTAAGGGGAAAATCTCCAGGCAGAGAGGTTCAAACTACAGCCACATCAGAAAGTTTCAAATAAGAGCCAAAATGCTGAGAGGATGTTCAACTGTCTTTTGACTATGAAAACGTTAAGCATGACTGTTCTACACTGACCTATATTCTGGCAACTGTCTTACCCAATATGCCAAGAACATAGGAGATACCAAAGAAACCTGATTTTAGAGGAGAGTTTCTCAACTGGGTTAAAACACATATAATTTTTTTTAAATTAACATACCCTCCTCTGTGATATTGCTGTCAAAACCTTTATCTGTGAAAAAATGTAAGTCAGGTTTAGTGGAGTGTCTTATTTATTACTTTATTTTCTTCCATGTTCCTATGTTAGATAAGTACACAGGAATGTATGTACATTTTAATGAGTATGTAATAGAGTATTCTTGATACATCTGATGTAAGTGTTGCTTTCACAGGACTCAGCACAGAATAAGACTGAGACCATATATGCTTATGCATTCATAAACCCAGCAGCTGGCTTTAAGTTTGATACATGAGTTCATCAAAAATGAAACTGGACATTTCATCTATCATTTTAGTGGGTTCATCCAAGGAAGACGACAAAGTACTTTCAGTTGAAGTGAAAAGGTTCTTTGATATACATCTGAAAGTAGGTACCAATATGTTTCCCCAAAACCCTCATAATATGACGGGAGGTTTTTCTAAAGAAAGGAAATTATGCTTTCTTCAAACATTTACATAGTCAACATTCAAGATTTCCTATGGAGTCTTCCTTATGTTTGTCTTAAAACTAGAAGTTTAGTTCAAA